CATAGCAATTCATCACATTGTGGATCATTAGGCATTACCAGGGCTATGACCCGTCATTCACATGGTCAAACGACCTTCCTTTCTTTCCAAATTTGGATTAATTTGTAGTTTATGAAAAAATTGACTGCTGTATGGGCTATTTGCACAATGGTTGCTTAGAAGTGGAGATGCAGGGCACGTGTTTACGCGACTTTGAAGGGGCCATTATAAATTGTAGACACGAAGTACTCACTTTTACGAGGAGAACGAACCATGCTTATTTTGTAAAATGTGGTATTTTATATCAAAGAGTTCCACCTGGACAATGCATATGCTTGTGCTCTGAACAACTAACCACACTGCTTTTAGCAGAATATGAACAAAGCCATGCCTTTATCCAGTAAATCCAAAAATTTCACGTCCTCAGTGTGCAGTAAAATTAAGTGCCTCTACTTTCATTGTTCTGTAATTAGTACTGAAATCATTACTAGGACTTTATATTCAGTGGCCATAAGTTTCTTTTTGTAGGCTACCATCTTGGAAGCACTTTATCAATCATTTTAACAAAAAATTAATCCAGCAATTAATACAGGTTTATCAAGCCCAATGTCCAGCAGCGGCGTTCTCAATGTCCCTATTACAGTCATTGATGGACGTGAGTCAAAATTTTGTATTTGTTACCACCGCTTTTACCATTTCTCTGGAAGAAAGATGGTATATGTGCCCACAGTGCGAAAAAACGTTTTTGCAGAGCAGCGACTTAAGGCGCCACATTTCGGACGTCCATGAGAGTGAGTCAACCCATCGCTATTTTTATTACCAGTCATTGTGTGCATTTATTGAGCAAAATTGGAGGTCTGACTATTCTTTGGAACATTGCGGAAAGAAAACAATAATCTACTAACCTTTCAATTTTTGATAGGACACGATGAAGATGCTGGCATTTTGATAGGTCATTTATACGAGGCAATTTAAGCTGCCATATTTTTTATTTCACGGAATCCTGCCAACTATTCTTCATTTCTGGCCTTACGTCTTCCTTGAATTCTTGCTGTTGTTTGGCTTTACTACACTGCGATACGGTAGAACATTTAGCTGCCAGCATTACAAAATATCTTTTACGAGACGTAGCACATTAAACAACCGGATTTGGTAAAGCTTGGAACCGAAACATTTTAAAATTTACTAGCAATTGCAAATTTGTTTGACTGATATTCAAAGGCGTCTTTTGTTTACTGTCTTCCTAATTCTTTCAGATAGGAGGCTATTCACCTGTCATCAATGTGATAAATCCTTCGCTCAGCAAGGCACTTTAAGCAGACACATCTCTGCAGTTCATGAGGGAAAGTTACTTAATGCCTTAAAAACAATCCTGATTAATTTTTCAAGTACATACTTTACCTGCTTTGTTTTACTTTTCTTAGTGAGAGGACGGTTTAGTTGCCAGTATTGCAATAAGTCCTTCTGGTACCATTGCGACTTAATCAGGCATATTACTGCGACTCATGGAGTTCAGCTAAATAATTCTTAGGCGTATGTATTGTGGTTTTAAATTTTTTACCTGCTATTGAACAGAATGTCTCAATCACCGTTGTTATATTTTCAACGGCTTCGTTTAATGAGGTTATACTGTACTTAATTTAATAAGTTTTGCAGAAGCAGAAACCTTCCTCCAAGCCATCATTTCAAAATTTTGTCTACACGACGTGATAGTTTGCACACTTATGGGACAGTCGCCAATAGATCCCAGCCGTAGAATTGTCCTTGATCTGGAGAAACCTCCTAATCATTATTTGATAATCAAGTGGCTGAACGTACAATTGTTGGCGACGTTTAACAAATTAGTGGATATTTTAAAACAGTTTACAAGTGAAGATTTGATGCGGCGCAAAACTAGCGCATATATTCATGTAGCATTGCACTATGCCATTTTTTTCACTAAGATGAGCTCTCATCCCGTAGTGTTTTGATTATTGTTGTATCTTGCGTAGCGATATATTTTGTATTTTTATGACTTGTAGGATTCCAGGGCCAGTAGAACTCAGTGCACTTACATTTCTCTTGGCCTCTCTCGCTGTCCCTAGCTTATTCTGCAGTATCTGCCTTTCACATTCTTCTCTTAACCAAATTTGTATTATGTGCAAAAGTACATACGCATTCACATACACACTTCCATGCCAATAAATAATAAATGCTGCTGTACTCTAATTTCATTCACTCGACTTTATATCCTTTCTGGATAAATCAGGGAGCTGATATAATTCAGTGCATCTGATCCGCATGAGTTAGAACTGGCACCAATAGCTACGAGGCCAAGCTTAGAAGGAGACTTAGGAAGGCTATAGGTAATACATCAGATATCATTTATCACATCAACAAATGTCGCAATGTAGTAAAGCATCAGTTTGTTCTACTGACAATGCAAGACATGGTCAAAATCGGTTAGGATCCGCCGTAGTCGCTATGGCCAAAATGTTTGGCCTTCATTCATGTGACTTAGAAACATTTAAGACACTGGTGAAGAGAATAAAGTGGATATGAAGAAACAGAAGTCTGACCTGTGAGTGTTCGACTCTGACGTGAAACGCATGAAGGCATCATAGTTGGTTAGGGGCTGCTTCTTTTTTTGGATCAGATGTCTCACCTACCGTAACTGTCATCTATGTATTTGGTGGTAAGTCATGCTCTGACTTACTCGTACACTTCTCCTTCTACTGTTACATAGCATTGCCTTTAAAACACATCTCTGCCTCCTGTTAGGTTCTCTCACCTTGACATCCCACGCACTTACAACCACTTTACCCTCTCCAGTATCACTCTTCACCGATGCCATTTTGGCTGCTTTTATTCAGCATTCACTACCTATATCTGTTTTTTATCATTTACTTGCTCTTTTACAGTATTCCATCAATTACAGTCATTCTTAATGCAGTAGATCACATTTAATGCAGATTACACAACCCCATTTACTAATGACCATGTCATGTCACATTTCATTCTACTACCCCTTCTTTTTACCTTAAATCCTATTTACTTGTTCTCTCTGCCCATAAAACTCTCCAGAGCAAAGGTGAACTTATCGGTTGCATTTGCGTTTGTACTGTAGCCGAATTTTTACTTACACATCATATATGTACATCCTTTGTCCTTTTAGACGGTCTATTTACCTAGCCCATTAAATAAAATGGTAAGAATGCACACAAATCCACTGGTTATTAGCCCAAGTTTATTTTCTGTTTGACTGTGTGTGTAGCTTCAAGTGAAATATACTTTGGTTAGGTCCATATCTTGGCCCTTTAGTCATTTCAAGTGGTGCATCATGGAAGCAGATAGAACTACTTACTTCCCCTACTACTCCTCAGTAGTTGGTCAAAGTTTACCACATCGGATACATCTATTCATTAATTCTGAATGTAGTAGTCTATCAAACCTAAATTCATCTACCTGCACGCTCTTAGTGGTTCATATGCTCACCTTTTTTATTTTTATACACTTAATGAACATCTGACTTTCCACTCCTCTCTTATTCATCCATTTATCCATTAAGCATCTATCAAACCATCTATTGAATATTTATTTGTCCTCCTTCTTCCAACTATATACAAAACCGTCCATCTCTCTGGAGTTGACTGGACTTTCAGATCCTGCCTTATAATCACCCATATATCAAGTTCGAAACAACGAATCTCATATTCACGCATTTCCCCATCCCGATCTCCTAATCACCTTTGGGTCAATCAGTGCTGTTGTCACTAAATTGTTCGTTCTTTCACAACAGACGCGTGAATGAAGGGAGGATCTAGCAAATCCAAACGGTGACACTGATGCAGGTGGCTTATCTTCCACCTTGAACTCGCAGATGTTGATGTAAGTGTGAAGATTTCCCTTTCTCAAGTTAATTTCAGTCACACCACACAGCTGATTCTGTTGTTGACAGTTGTCTGAGTGAACATTCTCTAATGTTTACTCACATGCTAGCTGCTGACTCCCACTTTTCCCTGTGTAGATCGTGTCCCTGCTTCTGGAGTTTGCCATCAACATCAAGATCTACAGCGCACGGAAATTGGTGGTGGAGGCAGTGGTGCTGCCTTGGAGGATTGTCACTAGACTTCAAGGCGGCTGACACCGCTGTGGAAAAGAAACTAAGACTGCCGTTTTCGAGAAATTGACTAACATTTCATCCACTAAGAAATGCAGGGGCTCCACTTGCTACTTTGCGGCTTCCATTGAAAAAGAAGTACTATATATCACAACAAAAGGAGGATATGGATCTACCTGCTAGTGAGCATGATACCCTGCTGGATAGTTTTTGAGCAAAGGTTAAACGAATTAAGGGTTGAATGCATTCAAAAAACATCAGTGGTGAATTGGTCTTTACTTTGAACAATCAAAGCAACTAATAGCAAAATCGTCATTTATAGGACAAGATTAAACATTATATGATTAAAAATGCAAACAAAAACAAGGTGCGGTGGTTTACTTTCCCTTTTGCTTTTCCATTCTCAACATTTCGCCACATTTAGAGAATGCAAAAGGTGCCTAAAAATTAGTAAATTTTACTATAGCCATTTAAGAAGTGGACACATTAATTATATGGACAAAAATTTTGACTTTGCTTTACCTACGAAAATTTACAAAAATGCCAGCATATATGATGCTGATTTAAATCAAAGCTATAACCGTGTAATCAGCAAAGATGGGAAAGTTACTATTATATGCAGCAATTTGATTCACATAGCACTAAGAGCTGTGCGTCAACATAAAAAATTTGTTGTTCTATTCGAAGCTCTAGTACCTCCAGCATTCCATCGAGGCAGACAGGTTTCTACTTGAAATGAAAGAAGCATTTAAATTTTGTTTATTTGCCTGAGCACTAAAGCTGAAATCATGTTCGAAGGCAAAATCAGCCGTCTTACGAAAGAGATTCTTTGTCTTAAAGAACCCGTCTTATCTGCAGAAGGCATCAAATACAATTAAAGAAAAGCGACAATGACTCTTAAGAATTAGATCACTGCTTAGCTGAATGCATGAAAAAAATACTGCAAGATTTCATCATCACTTCTGATTGAATATGTCACTCGTGGATGTTTATTCGCGTTTAAGAAGAGGAATTGTAGAAGTAAATAAATCTCAGCAACAGCTGTGATAAGGTAACCAGTGTGGATATGCACAGAAATTTATTTTGATAATCTGATCAGCTACTAATATTAAAAGGAGTCAGTAGCACACGAAATGAAATTGCACTTTTTATTAGGCTAAAGTAACCAAAGCTAATCGCGTACGTGAGAAATTCAACCAATTTGAATCTACAAAAAACTAGCATGGGCAAGTTTCTACAGCAAAATATAAAAAGGAATAGATTTTGAGTGTCTATGATATCAGCAAAGCTAACTCGGGAAGATTTGTGGCAACTACTTATAATTAATAATGAGATTATGAGGCAGACTGAATCAAGTCTGTTAGATACTTTTGGCTTCATTAAAAACAATTTTGCGCGAGTGGATATTTAAAAATTGGGAAGGGTATTTATTTTGTCAAAAAGTAAAAATCCAGGATTTTTGTACTTAGAAGCACAAATCACCTGTTAAAATCGTCAATGTGGTCCTTCCCTTGCTCCATGCATCCATCTTTGCCAGCTTTCTTTATCATTTAAGGTTGTAGTTGGCATTCAATTTTTATCTCAATGCTCATTTACACACCTCGTTTTGCTCAGTAAACCTCACGCTGACTTATGCTATGGGTCAATTTGTGCATGGTTGTAGTGGAACGTGTCAAGTCATACACATTTTCTAATTTTCATATCGCTTACACCAAATTAGAGGATAGGCAGTTTCATGTTTCAAAAAAGGTTTCCAATGATGTAAAAGGAAAATGTGGAAATTTAAGAGCACACTTAAACGTAGTTTAACATTTTGCGAACGACAGACATCCAGTCTCCCTTGTTATTTTATGTTCCCAAAACGCAGGAATTATTTGACCATTCCGAGGACAATATTTTCTCAGACAAGATGATCCCACGCAATTGTCCTATTCAAGGTCTCACTGCAAACTCATTTGATAATCCAGATACTCTTTAGCGTAATCCGAATTTCTTTCATTCGTGTAACTGCCCATAGCTACTGTGTATCTATCCACATCAGACTGCCATCCAATTTCACCCAACACACCAACGCACAGGTCTCAAAAATATAGTTGACCACCTCTATTTTAGGGATTTTGATGGCCAAATTCGCAATGCCGAGGCTGGCTTTGGCTGGATGGATAAAACATCCTCCAGCTTGACTGTCTGGTTCCACACGTGACCAAAGTCAACCGCAAAATAAACATCTGCTATTGTCCCAATGAAGCAAGGCAGAACGAGCAAATTAGGGAGCAACTACAGGTCTGACCAGTCGTCTAGTGCGCTACTTGTGTCAGCCCACCTATTTTGTAATTCAATGAATGGATCAATGCGTCTTTATTCTGCAATGATACGATGCTCATCTAAACGCTGCAGTATTTAGAATGCTGTCACGGCTAATACTGTTTCAATACTATTTAAGCAGCCTACACTTGTGCTATCTGCCCTGAGGTTCCACGTTTATGCACAATGCGAGTCAGACTAAAGCCTAAATGCAGTACAATCCTATAGAAATCGAGCATTTTGCTTTACAGATCATTCCATACCTACTCATGTACTTCTTAACTGACAAAATTCATGTGTACCGTTTGCGAAACGAAACTTGATTAAATTCGCCAAAGCATAGATCATTTTACATTTCATTCGCATTATAAATTCTATCAGTTGAGTCTTGAGAAAGGGGTAAGAGACATCATATTTATCTCTTTAATATGCTAATATTCTGGAAGATTTCTCGATCAAGTTAATACTGGATGTGTTGCACTATAGGGAACCGATTAAATGCCGTGAGATGGACCGAAGTAACTCCATACGCAAACAAAGTCCTGAGTTCAAATATCAAAACTACTGTTTCTTGTGAAAAGTGATGAAAGTGTGGGAATTGTTCTGCATTAAACAGCCTACATTTGCCAGAAACCAAAAGCGACAAGTGCCACATTAAAAGTGAATTACAATCGACGTGGCAAATTTGTGACTTATTTGGTTGCGTTTGAATTGCACAAGGCATTACCGCAATCAGTGTGTTAAAAAAGGAGGAAATCCAGGAGCAGAAATGTGCCAAAATGGGTATGCTTTGAGCCTTGATCAACTTTTGATTGTACTGGCTACAGCCAATTAGGAGTCCCGTACACCAAACTTTACGTTTCCTGTTCTTCTTTAGCAAAGCAGCCTTGTAGTTTATGTTGCGGTTCTTGCTACCGTCTTTTAATATACTCCCTATGAAAGATTGTCCTTACATCCACTATTCACGCTTGACTCAATATGCCTAAATTTAAATGCTGCATTTTTTCTTGGTTGCACCTCAAATGAGCTTATTCACCGACGCATTGACACATTGTTGCGTAATGGATGCGTGGCCTGATGATTAGATGGTAGGCCCTCAATGTCAGTTAGTAGTCGAACATAATTTTATCATTCCCATCACCATCCGTTTTAAGGGGGAGGCTCGTCAATATTACTATTATCACGAGTCAGAATTAGTGAAAGCCTCGTCTGCTGCATCAAGTCCAGATGGCGCTGAAATGCATACAAAGGAAACACGGTTGACGGAAGAATATGCGATGTTACACATTAACAGCGGACCACAGCACCAGATTTTAAGCTTCTCTCTATTCCCATCAGGGCATACAGCTGAATGATTTTTTTAAGAAATTGACTTAGTTTAAGTGACTACAATATTCTACCTATCGGCCTACTTGAAGTGTACACATATAGTTTTCACTTGATATGCCGAAATGACCAGGCTACTAGCTGCAACGATATGGGAATGCTGCATACACATACACCCATTTATAGGCCCATTTAAGCTGTGTGTTTTAACAAGTTGATCTGCTGCTTGCCTAAAAAACCGCCACACTAACGTGTATTTCAGAGTATATGCAGGTAAATGCTGTTAAAATTTCGAAAGACACGCTTTTAATTAAGCGCTATTTTTACTAAATGAAACTGGTTAAGTGAACCTGATCCAATAAAGTACTTTTTGTGCAACATTTTGATGTGCACATACTTCTATTATCTTGTGTTTCTGCTGAATGCTTTGGCGACTCGAAAATAATGTAAGAGATTTATGCAACTTGATTCCTATTGTGTTCTGCGCCGATTCCATCTCAAAGTGCTGATTCAGTAGTAGAACTATTTAGGCTTAAACGCCAAATCAATTGATGCCAAGTCTCTCCCTTCTGGTAAGGATATGTGAGCAAGTGGATGTGTATGACGGGCTATTATTATGTTCATGGTCGTTGTTAAGCGATGATAAATGGAAGATTTTGCTGCTATTTTGGTTATGCAGGTCATTAATAAAATTAATAATTCAATAGCTTTTAGAATTGGGATGACCTAATGGTCGTCACGGTAGCGGCGGAGACACAGTGACACTTGCTTACAAATTCTAGCCATTCAGCGATTACGCTGAGTTGGAGTGTTTGGGGTTTTTATCTTTGCAAGCAGTTCTTCCTCCACTGTTTACTTATCAGTAGCTGCAAGATCATTCCTGAAATAGTTGAATTAGTTAAATTAAAATTTTAAAGTTCATGTGTGGTTGACTGCGGACACTTGTCTCCAGCATTTAATTACTTATTGCTATTTTCTCTCAGATAAATTTTTCACTGCTCTGTTGCTTGAGCCATCTGTCCTAGGAAATGTAAACCGGATCGCTGGTGACTTTATTTCTTTAGCACCTTTGAAACGAGACCTTGCTATCAATTCTCCGTTAAATGCAGATCCGCTGCATTGGTTAATTTTTCTAAAATGCATCCTAAATTGCTATTTTTATATAATAGAGCCAAGTTAAAATGCAAAACACTTATAAATTGCCAGCAAGTTTTATGTGTGATCAAAGCCTCAGGAACGCTGTCCAACATTGAAATGTGATTGGGTAAGTTGACTAGAGAAATTACGGAAGCGCAGCACTGCGCTTTGAGAGATCCTTTTCATGCATCATTAAATTATTTCAGTGCAACGGCAACATAAATTATTAATGTGCATGCTATAGGGCCAAAAAGCGACATTTGAAAGTCACAAATACTCTGCCGTTGTGGGCATAGGATCTAAATTGCATGAGACAAATTTGTTTACTGGAAGCTAGTGTAAACATCGGTGACTCGTGACAAGAGACGTCCAAACTTCCTGTTAAGTCTGAAAATAGTTCCGTCACTTATTCAAGTGCCCTTAGGACAAACATTCACGGTTACGCCTAATTGTGGCCATTTCACTGAAATGTGGAGAACCGGTTACAGTTGAAGAGAAGCCAGTGGCCTCCCATTTCCGAGGAAGTTTCTTGCCACGGACAAATAACGCTGATTAGATTGACATTGTGATTATTAAACTTTGTATGATTTTACCAAGGCAACCCATTGGAACCACCCACACTTTCATGCCCACTTCGCAATGGCAAATTCCTATCCACGGCAATATCTTCCATAATGGCTGATTCAAGTAATTTTTCCTGTGAGCTCGAAGTTTTCGATCATTCGAAGGCTTTGAAAAGGGAGAAGATTCCGGAGACCTACACTTATAATGGAACAGTGCTCCCTAAAATGGAAAGACAATGAAATTAGTTGATGGCCAGAGTGCAAATTAATGCAACCACTAGCTACATAATTTATAAATAAAAGAATATATTAGTTGGAGCCATGACCATCTCTACGTCGATGATAAAGCAAATCTCTACAACCTCAAGCACTTGATGACTTGTTCTGGGGTAACTTGATTTCTGTACACATGAACAAAGGAGGTCAAAGCACTTGCCCGAACCAATCCGTAGCAAGAGGGTTTTGATAAAGCCTCATATTTTATGTCGCCTGGATGATCCGGGATGCACTTTTCAGTCACCTCGTTACAAGCTGCCATCATCGTCACAATGGCCTGCTCGCTACAGGTCGTCTAATGTGACAAAAGTAAGGAAAGTGACAGAACTTGTAAACATTGCTAAAATAAAAGAAGCTCGGTAATTGTTTAATACAATTTAGTGCAAAGATACGGCTAGACTGCTCTTAGATTAGTAAAGAAATGAGTGAAGTTTTTGGCACAGAACATCACAAATGTCAAATATATGGGACTGTTTACACGCATCAGTCTACGGGCTCGATAGGCTTTAGCGCGTTCACTTAGAAAACTATCCGTAATTTAGAACTTTTATAGCGAAAAGCAATGGTTGAAACCAAAAGAAGCGGCTTGAGCCTCCTTACTTGATGAACTGAGTTAAACTGACATCTAAAGCTGCAAAAAATGGCTTTTCATGCCACTTGTCGCATAGCGTTGGGAAAAGATGAGTATGCGACGGCAGAACACACAATTGCGAAAAATTTTATTTACAATACAACCTTCCGTAATTTTTGACATTTCAAGTGATGAGAGAATCAATTTGTGTTTGTATAAACTGGGAAGATGAAATCGTGGAAGCTAGTAGGCAACTGGGTATTACACACTATGCAGTGGATAACACGCTAACAGACGGATTGACTGACTGAGTGACAGGCCCATAATGAGTAGCGGCCTTTGCCTTGACACTTTTGCTAAGCAAACGAGCAAACTGTTAGTAGCTGGATACGGACTGTAGAAAGGAGGGACGGTAATTACCCCAATAACACCACCTCCACCACTGGTGCTGTGAAGGTAGAAATCAGGAAGGTCAAGCCAAATGGTCATAACCACCTTAAGTTCTGTGATAACTGGAGAAAAAGGTAATTCAGTCATGCATTAGTATCGTTTACTACAAACAATAAGAATGGAAATCAAAAGTAAATCACAAATAACTTGAGTTTAGACATGTTTTCCCAATAATCTCGCGTCATAGCTTCATCGACTGTCATTCATAGGGCTGTAGATATATGCATTGCTCAAACCCACATCACTGGTCTTTTTACAAATAAATCGGCTGTTCCACTTGAGTTTTGATGAACGCATTGCGGATTTTAAACTGTTCATTCCTCCAGATTGTGACTGGGTGAAGCTAGTCGATTGGATCATCCCTCTGAAGACGGCTTGTCAGTACTCCTGATTTTAGACCTGATAATTTTCTCGTATATAATTATGAGGGGAAAATTAGGCTTCATGAAGAGTATAATCGCTAGAAGTGAGCAATTTTCATTTTCCCTTCGTCTTTGGCGGCATTCGAGTCCGGTTATTTGGAAGTCAGTTCAGCCTCGTAGGACGGCTTTCATGCTAGCTACACAGAAATTGCATAATATGCTACGAATGAGGCATTTGCTCCTCCCCTCATCTCATCTCATCTCTTATAAAAAGCAAACTGAAGCAATCGCTTTAGCACCACTTATGCATACTGAAAAGAGAATCGACTTGCATGTGGGTAACCAACAACTTTAGCTAAACTTTTTTAGAAACATAAGTCGCAAATTAGAGTTGGTTACTGATTTTGGACCATGTCTAGTGCGGTATACCCTCTTGTAAAAGAGATAACGAGATTAGCTATGTTGGCCCAACCCCATTGAGCGATGCAAGCTAAATAAGCAAAAGTAGTAAAAAACTGATGAACACAAAATACGGACCCACGTAAAACCGATTCCTTCCATGCCACTGTTGACGATATTAGCAAACATAGCTGGATAGGAATTTGTCATTGCGACGTAGGCATGAATGTGTGGGTGGTTCCAATGGGCTACCTTAATAAAATCAAAAAAATTAGCAATCACAACAACAATG